ATACAGAAACATATAAACCAAGCCTTGCTTTTTAATGATTGATTTTTTTTTATATTAGCATTTCCTTAAATTGTTTTGTTTCTCCAGCATAGCCCCCTAATCATCCCATGTAGAAGAATGACCGGTGAGAAACTGTTACTGCCAATGATACTAATGTCTGTAGTGATGAGTTTATTACCAATGCAGACATCATATGGACAACACTTGCCAGAGGAGTCTTGCACTGTTCAGATCCTTGTCCCTGGACTCAAAGGCATGTAGCTCTTTGTTCTTTCTTACAAAATGCATACCAGACACCTTAATAACCAAGAATAGACTCTATCTGATATAATAATTGTTTTTCTTCTGCTCTAAAAGGAGACCCCGGAGAAAAAGGACAAAAGGGAGCACCTGGGAGACCAGGAAGAGTTGGTCCGCCAGGGGAGATTGGTATATTTTATGCACTTGCACCAAAAAAATAAACTATAGAATGTGTTTGTTTGTTTTGTGAGCAAAAGTGCATTCCCCTAAAATGCAAATCTTTAAAGAGAGAATACTTTCTACATGCCCACATTTATAGATCTCCTCATTTTCTCATTACTACCACTAATACAAGAAAACCTGGGGTAAAGATCACATTTCTCGGGCTGATAATGTGCCGTTACATCACTACCAGGCCATCCAGAAATGGTCAAGTGTTTATATTAGGGTAAGAGGTCAAATGAGAAATGGTTTGTGGAATCCAGAGCTGTGGAAGTGTTTATGGAAGACCTTAATGAGGAGTGAAGGGTGTTCTCTGAAGCATATTCATCATTTTAATTAATGAACCTTTAGTGAAAGTAAAGATTTATTGTTTAATATATATCACTTTGCTTTCATTTGTGCTGTTTTAAGTTTGTCTTGACTATAAGATATACAGTATGTCTCTATCTTCATATGAACAATTTACTCATGTTGCATTCTTTTTAGGTCCACCTGGGGTCAAAGGACACAAAGGCATTATGGGACGTTATGGAAAAGTTGGCCCAAGTGGAATGAAAGGTGCTATAAGAAGCAGAGATGTACTGTCTGCACACTTTTTCAGGAATGCATCAATTATTTGTTTAGTGTGTTTTTATGATTGATAAATATCTACATCTCTGACGCAGGATCCAAGGGAGATCCAGGTGACCCTGGTCCAAGGGGCCCAGACGGAGAGCCAGGTGGGTTCTAAAACCATCTTATTTTGTTTGTCAAACAGATGGCAGCAGGATTAGACAGACACATCTGTAAATGAATAAAGTCAACTTTGTGATAGTCCCACACATTTTTGCCTTATCAGGGGTTCCCTGTGAGTGTGCGCCAATTAGAAGGATGATTGGAGAAATGGACATTCTTGTGGCTCAGCTTTCCTCAGAACTAAAATTCATTAAAAATGGTAAAAGATTTGCAGTCTTTAAAAATGCTTTTGTATTTTTTAAAAAAAATAAATCTTTATCAGTTTTGGTATTTTGCTGAATTCCTGTCCTATAGAATTGAAAATGCGGGCATGTCAATGTGAAATTTATAGAAATACAAGTGCTCATTTTTCAGCACTGCCCTCCCCTGCAGCTGTTGCTGGCATTAAGGAAACAGACAGTAAGGTCTATCTGTTGGTGAAGGAAGCGAAGCGCTACACCGAGGCTGAGGGCTACTGCCAGACGAGGGGAGGGCACCTGGTCATGCCGAAGGATGAGGGAGCAAACGCAGCCATCGCAGGGTACATAACCGACGCTGGCCTGAGCAGAGTTTACATTGGCATTCATGACCTCGAGCACGAAGGTGTTTTCACCTACGTAGATCACTCTCCCATGACCACTTTCAGCAAATGGAGAAAAGGAGAACCCAACAATGCCTATGATGATGAGGACTGTGCTGAGATGGTGACCTCTGGGGAGTGGACTGATGTGGCGTGCCATCCGACAATGTATTTTGTTTGTGAATTTGACAAGGACAACATCTGAGGCCAGTATATGCTAAACAGCCTGCAGACTGGACAAATGTAATGGAGCAAAAACTGTAATCTTATTATTTTGCTGTATCCTCTATCTGTAAATATGAATACGAAATGATACGCAAGTTGTGCAAAGTAGTATACTTTCAACTTCCTTTTTGCTTATGAGCTAATAAGCTATTTATTTTCTGAACATACAAAATATCCAAATGTTTGTAATATTTTTTTTTTTTACGTCCTTGATACATACTGAAATAAATTAGTGTTTCCAAAAGCATGCCAGGAACTGAGTTTTTATTTAATTCAGAATATCCACTGAGCAATATTTGTAGCAGTACCATAGACAAACAGTGTAAATAAGCAAATATAGAGAGCTGTGGATTGTGTAGAAAAAAAAATACAATTAAAAGACATTCCAGTTGAGTGCATTTAATCAGAGGAACAGAATACAGCATGCATTCCACATTCATGTGCTGTGCAATAAACATTTATACATAGTTTATAAAAAAATTTTTACACATTATTTTTTGCTCTTGAACTAGTTGTGCTTATTTACTGCAGCAGTTAAAGCAAACTTATGGAAGAAATATACGATAAATTATGCAACACAGCGCTGGAGGAGTCAACACTACTACCTCATAGAAACAAGGTTGTCGGTTTGAATCCACTGGCTGGCTTCTGTGTGCAGAAGTTGGGCTCTTGGTGTCCAGGCTTCCTCCCACAGTCCAACAACGTGCATGCTAGTTTAACTGCTGGTTCTAAATTGGTCAGATGTGAGTGTGAACAGCTGTTTGTCTCTGTGAGTTAGCCCTGCAATAGACTGGCGACCATGAACATGTATACATGCATGCCTCAAAATACTTATATGGCTTACATTATGTTTTAATCATTAAAGTGACCCATTTTATATTATTGTAAAATAACAAAATAATTACTTTTTTGTTGTAATTTCCACTTGGACCATCGCCACCCAGTGGGCGAAAGCTCATCTTACAGCAAAAATCCCTTACAGGGGACTGAAGTCAGTGGCTGCTCCACATTTTATCTGTTATATTAAGGAAAGCACAGGTGTTACAAAAAACAATAACTGTCATGCTAAAAGTACAGAAGCCAGGAAATTTATTAATTTTAATGTTTACAGTTGTTCTTCTATTAGGTTGATTTTAGGCTGTTCTGTAGCACTGCATAAATACCAAGCAGTAATTGGTATATGTGCTAAATATGTTAAACATGAATCATATCAAAGTCAAATCGTTGCGACAATGTCCTTCTGAAGTATGCAAACATCCTAACGAGTGAACACGGTAAGGTTCTCATGTATTATCCAGCGAGCAATGCAATTACACCGGAGTCACCTTACATCTTTATAACATTCACTCTGCACCTTAGTGTGCTGTAATAAATGGGAGTTTTAAAATAGATGGCACTGACCTTTAAGAGCGCCAAAGGAAACTCACCCACTGCTTCCCCTTGATTCCTGACATGACATATCACACTTTGGCTAAGCACAATTTGAATCACAGTTACCCTACGACATGTATCCTGGCTAAGAACTGATAAGAACTAATTGCTGGAGACTTTTATGAGTTTTCATAAAATTCTGAAAACCATTTGATGCAATGACTAAAACCTGATCACATACTAAGCACATTGACATATTCTCGATTTGTAGTGTTAAATTAATGCTGTCAGTTTTTTTTATATAAAAATAATTTACCACCTAAAGTTTAAAATAAAAATAACAGATTACACATGACAATAATATGACAGCCTATTGTTTGCTGAATGACAGAAACAAAATATTACATACCTTAGATTAGTTTGACATTTTCATCTTTGAAAATCCTCCAACGGTTTGGTTGTGTGACTAATAGGAGATGTCTTGTGGCCCTGGCAGCTATTGTTTTAGGATGGGTGTCCCAGCTGAGATGATATCCTATTGCATCCCTCTAAGAAGAGGAATTTGAATATGCATGATGCATTTCTCCTAATAAAGCAGAACACCAGTCCCTTAAGAAATGAATAATTAATGCTGAGATGAATTATGTATTTAATTGACCAGGAGTTGTCCGCCATAAACCAATTAAGTGCCATTGTTGCAGCAATCTCTGGTTACCTTTGTAGTAAACAGTTTGGACAGCTCTGTCTAAAAGTGAAGGGGCTGCAGTCACTCTGCTACAGTTGTAATATACAATAGGAGTCTGTCAAAACATTTGAATGGGATACATGTTTTCTTCAAAAAAGAATACACTTCTTTGGCTTTCTATTATATTTATTATCACCGTTATACACTTACAATAGATTTTGGAGGAGGGCATAAATGGTAAACAATATGGCATGGATCATGAGGAAAGATGTATAGTAGCCTTATGTTAAACTTGAGTTGGCTTTGTCAGACAGAATATGTGTAGATTTCATTATTTTCAACATTTACATATGTTATGAGTGTATATAAATAAACACTGAGAGAAGATTGAAGTCAAATAGTAAATGTGTTTTTATATTAGCGGATTAAACCTGGGAAAAAACTGCATTCCAAAAGGATGTACAGTGCTTAAAAGTATCCTTGGGCAAGATTCTGAACCCGCAGTTACTCCCATTTACAATATACCATAAACGTAAGACAAAAAGGGGAAAAATAGAAATGTGTTGAAAACACGCTTAAAGCTAAAAAGTACTGAATTGAATTCACCATAACATTTCTGTCTGTTCAGGAATGGAAGTAAATAACAGCAATTTGGGATCTAAAAAATGAAGATACTAACAATGATAAAAACTAAACAACATATGCTTTGTTACAGCTTACTTTACATTGGGTAGTGGCCTAACAAATTTATTAAGCAATGAAATTCACCGCTGTGTTCTGTCAATTAGTTTCTCGTTAAATACCATGAGATTGAATCAGCCAGCTGGTAATGAAAATTAAAAATGAGTTTGTTTTTTTAATACAGACCTATGAGCGGTTTAGCTAAATATGTAAAACCCACTGGGGTCACCCCACTGGTTGCCTTGGTAGCACCAGAGGTTTGGTATCGAACACTAAATTAACCTTAGCTACACAATAGAAGACACGACAGAGACGTGGATACGTATCTTAATACTACACCTCTCATGTGGAAGAACTGAGAAGCTGTCTCCAGTTACGTCTCCGGAGGCGAACAGAGCTGACACATTAACTTCTGACACCAAGGGCCACCGCTGTTTGTTGTTTGAAATCGTTCCCATTAGCTAACACAAGTATGCCCAGCATATCAGGGAGAAGTGACTTGCCACCTACAAAAATAATCGTCGTCTACAGGAACGGAGATGCCTATTTTCCCGGCAGGAAAGTAGTTGTGAATCCGCGGCACGTGCCATACTTTGACAACTTTTTGACATCTCTGACCAAAGGGATTGAAGCACCTTTTGGCGCTGTGAGGAGGCTCTACACCGCCACACAAGGCCACCAAGCTCACCATCTGGATGACCTTCAGCACGGGAGTGAGTATGTCGCGGCCGGAAATGAGGCGTTCAAGAAACTGAAGTAAGTGTCATGTTTTAGGGGTTTCCTGTCTGAGTTTACTTGTATATACTGGAATCTACAGGTTTTTCCTTTAGCTTCATTTGTTGGCAAGGGGATTTGACTAGTCTGGTACTTAATATTCATTAAAACGCTCTGAATATGTCAGCTTATCTTAAATAAAGTCTAATCTGTCTTTAAATGTAATCTTTTGGACCCAGTATTTTAGTCTAGTCAGCAGAGCACTGATCTTGAGCATACTTTTACATATATAACTATTTGATTTCAATTAGTTTTATCAGATCTAAAGATGCCTTACACCCACATCCTTGCATAAGTTTCCTTGTACCTAAAGCTAATTTGATTTTTTACTGCCTTCAAGTTATTGTGAAATCGCAGCCAAGAAGCCACAGAATAAGAAAAAAGAACAGGTAGGAGCAATGTTTTGTGTGTGTGGTCAGTTATAGTGAAACGTTTTTCATGTGTCCTTGTTTTAAGTTTAACCATTCTGCCTGAATGCTGATGCCATCCTTAAAATCTAAGTTGCTCATGAAGGTCCTGTCGAGACACATAAGATTAGATTTTGAGTGACGTGCTGAAAAAAACCCCACTCAGTTCCTCCTTTATGAAATTTTCAGATCCAACCTGTTGTTCACAGCAGGATAGTAGTTTCTGCCCGCTGGAAGAGAACTGCTGATGAGTCTTGCACAATAAAGTGAGTATTGATTTTAAACTGCATACATATTTTTCCACGGTGTTAAAAGAATAATGTTCTCTGCCGTGCTGTGCAATGCAAGAAACAATTCCATTTATTTATTCATGGATCTTTCTGTGTCCTGTTTTGTTTCATAGCGTCTTCACCAATGGAGAAGTGCTGGTTTCTCCGGCTCGAATACGGATCCCAAAGTATACCCTTAGAAGCTGGGAAAACGTTTTAGCTATGGTGACAGAGAAAGTGCGTCTTCGCACGGGTGCTGTTTTCAGGTAATGTCAGGACATTTAGTCATACATCATTTTTAAACTAGTTAACTGGAGTATCAGTGAAGGTTGTTTTCCTCTTGCCTTCTAATTTAGAAGGTAATGTGATTAGTGGACACTTTACAGTCAATTTAAATGCAGAAAAATGATACTTGGGAAGGAGAGTAGAGGGACTTTTGCAATTAATTAGAGATCGAGACCATGTGTGGTTGTGATGTATTCAATAGATTTTATTCAGGCAAAGACGTAGCTGAAACTATCACTAAACATTACTGCAGTGAGTTGTTTTTCTTTATTTGAGCTTTCAGGCTTTGCACATTAAACGGACACCCTGTCTCCGGTCCCACTGAACTGGAGAACAACCACTACTATGTTGCAGTCGGTTCAGAAAAGTTTAAGGCTCTCCCATATTACCAGTGTGTCCCCAGGAGGGATTTGCTTAGGGAAAATAACATGACTGAAGGGTACGAGATGTGATCTTTCATGGCTTTTTCTATATGTCCAGAATAAACACTGGATTAGATTTTATTTCGATAAAGAAAGCAGAAATGTGTTTGTCAGTATTGTTTTTCCTTTTCTTCCCTGCAGCCAAGGCATCCTGCCCAGTACCAAAATCAAAAGATGTACAAAGAATGTGGTGAGTGTTGATGCACTTTGCCATCTGGTCCTTCACGTTCTCCTAACGTGCTAAATTGGTACCCTTTTTCCCCTGAACTCCCTCCGGGTCATTGTTGTAGCACTTTGTTAGACTCACAGTTGAAAAGCGTATCTTTGCACACACAGCATTTCAATTAACATTTCCCACGTGTGAGACTTGTTGTGGGGGCGCAATTCGTTATGAAACACCACTATCATCAATCACTGTCTGCAGGAGGCATTGAGTTACCGTTGCTTTCCAGTTTGATGGGTAATTCCCACAGAGACAGGCTGGCCCACTTGATCAAGTGCAGTGAGCCTCATAGACAGATCATATGCACAAGGGGGACTTCGTTTACAGCAAACTAAAAGAAAAAAAAAAATCTCTTATTCAAACAAGAGCTGGGACTATTTGTATTGTGATTAAGTTGACAGTGAAATGCTGCGAACCCATACGGGGATTGCGCTGCTGTGGGCCCGAGGTGAACACCAAATCACGTGATGAAGATGAGAACATGCCCACTCAGCAGGTCTAGGTAGAGATGGGCCCCACTGTGACAAATGTGCCTGACATGTGATTTTTATAACCATGAAAGATGACAGTGCTCTGGCAGATGTCAATTTTTGTTAGATATAGAAAAATGTCCCTTGCTTTATCCCCAGCTTTATCTGCATTGGATTGCCTTTGAATTTAGAAATAATTTGAATATTTATTAGTTATATATAAAAGATCTCTTCATTATATTAACAGCTATGCAGCCATAAAGCAGTAGATGAAAATTACATTGTTACGCAATTTTGCTTATCTGATACATTAGCTAATACGACACAACAACCACAACTTTTGCCATTTCACTTAGTACCATGAGGTGGAGACAGAGACAGAGCTATGCCTGTGTTTTGCATCCTTCGTTTCAGTGTAGTGTTAGTCATTCACTAGACATGAGGCTGCCGCATTTTACTTTCCTCGCCTCTGTGTCTCATCCCTCATGAATTTGTAAACATGATCTGACCAGTTAATAAGGGCCTTTCAGAGGGGGAGATATGCAAGTGACAAAAAATTACCCAATCTGTCTTGATCTGTCAGCTGTTTAGCTTACTGATTACACATACATTTATAGGGTCGTGTCCATCATTAATTTCAGTTTGACCTCACAAAACAACAGCAGTCTGATTTGAAACGCCCGTAAAAAAAGACCCTTTAAACATGCCCACTGAGGTTGTGTAAAATGTAACCTTGCTCTGCACGGGAGCCGTGTCTGTCCTGTCCGCACCGGCGGCGGACCCGTTTCTGGACTGCTGGACGGGACATCTGGTGTGGAGCAACCACCGACTAAACTGACAGCTCTGCAGAGTGTAATAATGAAACTCTCCAGTACACCGTGTTCCCATTGGAAGCAAGCATGCTGTATATGCTGAGTTAAGTGTTTTACAGACATGATGAGGTAGAAACTTTTGAGGTAGACATAGCATAAAGAGAAGATTAATAGGGGAGAGAGGAATACAAAGAGACAAAGTGAAAAAGAGAACAACGGCGTGCATCGTGCAGTACACTTAGTTATTATGGCAATCGTTATTATGGCAGTTAAGCAGTGCTTTATATGTGCTTCACATAAAGAGCCCCGTGTAAAAAAAAAAAAAAAAAAAAAAGCCCAGAAAGGCTGACTAAACCTTTAATATCTGTGCTTTCTGACATCATTGATGATTTGCTTCTCCTCGTTTCCTCTGTTTCCCATGTATGAGCTCATTGGTTAGGGGAAATAGCAATGCCCCGAGGAAGACTTTACCCCCTCGCTGCTGCCAGTGTGTCTACTCACTGAGGACTCGGCCCTGGGAGTGGCTCAGACTGATATCACAGTCAGTATGGCTGGAGGCTGGTCAGTCCAATTGTTTAGGACCCCCTTTTTTCCCCTGGCTATCATATCACCGTGTCCTCTTGTTGACTCCAGTTTTTGGCCACACGAGAGAGCCACAGATTACTTGCTGTCCAGCCCTCCTGAGCCCCCTTCACACTAACTCTAGCACTCTCTTTGTCTTTCTCTCTCTCTCGCTGTCTCTGGAGCCTGATGACACACACAGTTGTCTGCTCCCGCAGGACCTGGTACTGTAGATATGTAATGCAGACCGAGAGGCTATACTGTATGACCTCAGCTTTTCCACTGCCGTGTTTCTACTTCTGCTGCTGCTTGTTTTTGCAATCTTCCGGCTCCTTCAGCACCCCTCGTCCTCTGCTTTCTCCTCCCCTATGCCCTGCTTGCCACTCTCCCTGAGCGAGACAGCTTTGGATTGAGCTCGGTTTATTTAAATACCATCTATTTACATCTCACCACAAGCAAGAAAACAAGCTGCTCAATTTTTGATGAGCCAGATAGAGTTTGATTTAAAACTTTATCGCAAAGTTGTTTCACATCACTCGCAGATGAACCGAGGTTACAGGAGCTGAATTAGCAGCTTATCGCCGCGACGGTGCCACTGCTCCTTTGTCTTTGATCTCATGCGGCCGCGGACACCGCCGTGCTAGAACATGAACTCTCTTTCAACTCTCCTCCTCTGAATATAGCAGGCAAACTTCACACTTCTTTTGTTCTTTTACTTTTTTTTTTCTCCCTCAGCCCACTAACGGCTGTATAAATTCAAAAGAATACCAACAGACTTTGCCTCTGCATTAAAGTAAGCAAACAAGTGCAGAAACAACGCCGCTATTCCCCGGACTCCATGTTAGTGAGCTTGCAAACACCACTGCCAGAAGTGTATTCTGGTGGAAGCCCGAGATCACTACACTATCCCCCGAGCCAGCCCAGGGATCCTGCAGTAAAGAGCACTGTAGCTGAAAAGACACATTAAGTCAGCTCTCTCTCTCGATCTCTGTGTCTGTGTCTCTCATTCTCTGTAAGGGAGACATACCTCACCTTGCTACCTGCGGAGGGGATGAGGAGCCTGCGAGGAGAAAATTGCCTTTTGTGGAAGCATTAATTCAGATGTGTACCCTGCTGTCTGAACATCACTGAACTCTCCCCACTGCTCTCTCTCTCTCTTCTCTTCCTCTCTCACTCCTTTGCTCTCCCACCATGCAACTGAGTCCCAAACCTTTTTTTTTCCTCCCCTCCCCATCAATAACCTTCTGCTGTCTGCTGCTGAAGAATAAGTTATTCCCTACGACTCCCTCCCTTTCCCTTTAAGCTTGTTTGGATTTTCATTGTTTGATCTGGCTTGATAAATAAGACAAATGCAGTTAGAAATTCATGGCTGCCCTATTTCATCAATAAATGATTAGTTTGCCACGCTCCCTAGTGATTGATAGGTTGTGCATGGGATGTATTGGAACCAGATGAATTCAATACAGTAGGAGTCAGCGGGGAGTTACAAAACATATCAGCTCATGAAAAATTGAGGTCAATGGAAAATGTAAAAAAGCTGCTGAAAAGAGAGGAGAAACAAGCTTTCCTGTCTTGTTTTCTTGTTTTACTTCTTTCTCTTTACAAAACGAGCAATAAGTCAATGATGAATCCCAGACCGAATGTGAGGACATATACCTTAATCCGGGCCTCTCTGCTCTCCTCTCTTTTGTACCTCCATGTGGTTTGCTCAGACAAGCTCTGGAGAAGACCTTGAGCACACAGCCAGGGGCCAGACAAAGAAACTCACAGCCAAGGCAGAGAGAACCAAACAACAAGGGCAGGTGTCCAAGAACCCAGTTCTCTTCCCCCCAGTGGGTAAGCAGAGCACTATAGAAATATTGTCTTTACTGTCTTGCTCTCTAGCCCCTCTGTCCGCAGAGTTTTTGTTTTCTTTCTTTTTTGTTGTTGTTGTTGTTCTTCGACACTTTCTTCTTCGCTATGATGACAGAAAGAAACCTGTTGGATTTTGAAGACCATCTATGCACTTTGGGTAAAGCATGTTTGCGTTTGCAACTGTACATTTGTAAGTCTTCTGTGTGTGTAAGTAAAGAGATGTAACTCCTAGTCTGTGCTGATCATGCAGAAAATCTGCCATCTGGCAGGTGAAGGAGATTTCTTCGGAATCTCAGCTTGTTCTTTTTAAGTCCAAACAGAACAGAGCTGTGCGCCGTTTCAAAGGAACACTGCTCTTTTCTGTGAATATTAATAAAGAAAAAGACTTCAAACACTATCAAGGGGGCTTAAATCATAGATGAATTCAATCAAGCCATTTTGTTGAATACGTATCCTGAAAGCCTGGTTAACTATCTAGGGGGAGACAAAAATGCTCTTATTTTCTCTGGATGCGGGAATCAAGATGGTAATGAGTTATTAATCTTAAGCAACACTGACAAAAGTAAAGACAAATATTCTTTGTGTGCTTTAAATGTGATACTCAGTATATCAATAATAATAACACTGTCTGTATCTACTTATGCAGTTGTTGTTGTGCCATCTGTGCGCAGTAGTACGATTGCTTCACTTGAAAAACACATACTGGTATGGTAGCATTCGCAGGCTAATTGCTACTGTTTGAATCCTGCCATGATTTCATATGTTGTGACTGAGATACTCAGTTCTCAGGACACATTTCTGCTTATACTGTATCTGTAACCACATTAGCAAAGTCCCTAAAGTTAAAAAGCAAAGTTTTATGTCTTCTTTATAATTAAATCAGCTCTTAAAACCCTTCATACAGACAACAGCTCTGTGCAGTGTTCACAAGATTAATCTGGAATGAGGTCAGAGATTTAAGACTTTTTATAGATTTCTAGACAAAAAAGTAATTCTAGGCTTTTTTTGTGGTTGTGTAAATGTCTCTTTTCACTTAACACATGACGCAGATGCATTTTTTGTTTACATCGTCTTTTCGTGTTTTCGATGATAAATCTTGCATGTGTGGTTATTTATTATTTAAATTAAATTACTTAGGGCAATTGAAGTAGATTTAAGTTCAAGCGCATGTTTCATTATTCACATTCCACGCCGTATCAGATCTAGCAGCTGCAGACGAAAAGGAATTTGTTTACAAGGGTGACGTTGCTGTATGAGGCACGTCCCCACATGCATCAAGAGCAGCCTGTCACTGTCAGGATGTAACCCTGGACCAAAAGTTCACGCCGGCTGGCCATATTTGTGGCAGGGCAGCTGTGGCTTTCTGTGGCCCTTAAGTCTGGGGGACCACTATAAATAAATAAATGGCTTGACAGCAACATTGATCTCTTGTGAAGTTGAACAGGAGTAGAGAGGAGAGAGAAAGCGAGTGTGTAGAAGAATGAGACGGCGACTGCCAGCAGATGAGGTAATTGTGATTAATCACTTTTCTCAGAGGGCAGCGTGTTCAATGCACAAAACAAAAGGAGTGAGATGGCAGGAGCAGCAGAGGTGCAGGAAGACCGCCAGTTGAAGGTGGATCTGCCAATTGATCAGGTAAAACATAATCCCATACTGTAGCGCTACAGTCTGATGAGGTCCTTAAAGCGCGCCGTTATTTAACAGCTTGGCCTGATATCAGACAGGAAATAAGAAGTGATTTGAGTGTGAAAACACAGCATAGCCAGAGAAAAACAGAACCCATGTGAACATGGAGTAACATGTAAAGCTCCTTGGCTCCATGCGGATTTTTATTACGCTTTATATGTCAGTTATTATAATTTTTACAGCTCGTCGTCGGAGACACACTAAAGTATACAAGTTGATCATCACAACAAGCTGTTTGCATTTGATGTAAAATGAAAGGGTTAGATGAAAGACGTGCCTGCAGCTTTAGTAACCTCTCCCCCCCCCCATCGGTGTTCTTCCTATTAAGCTTTACCTTTCTGTATGTTTCCCAACATCAAACGGAATTGCGAATATACTTCTAGTACAGTATAATACCATTTTCTGCTCAGAATAAGGGCTCATGAATGCTCAGCAGAACAAGCTACATAAATATATAAATATTGTAAAATCAATACAGCACTACAGTACAGTGTAAGCCAAAGGGGATCTTGTGTGTTTTTTCCCCTCCCTGCAGGTTGAGGCCAAGATAGTTGAAGAGGAGTATGAAGATGGGAATCGTTGTGCGAGTTCCTGCAAGGCCTCCCTCCGTGATTCAGATGACTCGAGTATGCAAAGGTCTTCCACCACAGATTCCGGGAAAAATGTAAGTACACTTATTATTAGTTTAATGCAGTTAGTATTTCACATTCAGTTCATTTTTACTTTATTATTATGTCCAATTTTCTCATTTCCTTTTGGATTAGGTCACATAAAAAATGGTCTAACCAGCAATTATGGTAATGATCATTTCCATAATTGTAATAGGGTCACATAAACCTGCTTTCAGCAACTATATTTTCACTTATTGCACGTGTAACATTTTTTTCTGTCTCCATGGTTATTTTGGTGTATTTGCTATTTACTAACACAATCTTTCTAAGGGGCAGAGGGGAACATTAAAAGGTACAGAACACATTACTAGTACTACAAAGGATTTCAATTACCTGTGTCTCAGTTACAAGTTTTTGTAGGACGCGTTTAGAGCCAAGCTGTCACCCTAGATACTGCAAATCATGGAGTTTTCATGGTTGAAAAAGAGGCCCATAATAATATGCAGTTGTATTTGATGTCTGTCCTTTACTCTGGTTATTGTGCGCATTAACATTGATGAAGTGGGGAGTGAGCTGTGTATACAGATGTTGTTGCACGGATCTGTGATCCCCCCGAAATTACGCCCATTTAAATAAACTTATTTTGCTCTAATAATCCTCGAGGGACAGCGATATGAAGCCGTGTAACTGTGATAAATGCACACAATAGTTGGGTGATATTACTATTCCATGCAATTTCATTCGGCTTTGAAATGAGAAGATATTGAGTCTTATTTAAGCAATCAATAACCTAGAACATTTCGTTTTAATGAAAACTATAATTTTAAGCAGTGGCAATTACACCGTAGGGGAATGTTTTGGTGTGGTGATGATTTTGCTGCCGTATGCACTTTTGCAATAAAGATATTCTTCGTGGGATAATTATTGACTTCTGGGGGTCGGTTATGACCCTGGCTAAAGACCTCATCAATAGCTTAATTCATTACTTATCACTTTTAGTCATACATGAATTTTGCTGATTCAGATTTACTATGGATTGGGTGGAGTGACCATTAGATAATGGGAAATAATAATAATGATAATCCCTGTATGGACTCAGCTATGTTTGCAATAATCATCTTGCCAAGTAGCTTTTGATCTGTCAGCGAATGGAAAGTGGCATAAGATGGAATTTTGGTTGAAAGAACAAATCCTAAGCAAAAATAACTCTAGTTTGCAGTAAAAGTGTGTCAGCACTTTTAATCAGACCGGCTGCCTTACCAAACTTTGATTTGTTTATGTTCATTAATGTTTTATCAGCACTGTACTTACATTATAGTTAAATGCCTTTGTCAAGCCAGAAATAATAGCTCTGCAGGTAAGACTTACCTTAACTAACGTCTAATCATCCTTCATGCATACTCATACTTGTTTTTTCCCACTGAGGCCAAACAAGCTGTCGCTGTCTCGTTGTCAGCAACCTCATCATTTAGAGGGCTGTGAATAATAATGAGGGATAACTGCACTGCTATGACTCATACTTTCAGCTGAGTCCAGACAGATTTCCTCCCACTCCGGTGCTCATATATGCTCGTGAAATGCCCCGTGTACTCTGTATACGTGCATGTATATGCTAGATATTGATGACCAAATTCAATTACATGATTACATTTTCAGTTGAAGCTTTAAATGATTTATTGCAGTGCATTTAAATAGTGAATACATTTGCAGACAGTACAGCGGTGAGGCGGTGGTGTACATATGGTATTGACCTGTGTGGTCCAGGCCAAGGAAAGAATAACGAGATTCAGCATCTCTGCCAAGTGGAGATGTCCGCTGAGAGTGAACACAGGCTATCTCGGTGTTAGGAAGCAAAGGATGGCGGGCTGGAGCTTGATGCACATTTATCAAAGCTGCTCTTACACTCACTCCACTGACTTTTGTTGGGCTCTCTGCAGGTTGGCTTTTCCTTTAGAGTGCACTCTGTTAAGGATCTGATTGATTTCATGACGGCCTACTCTGTCTGTATTGTAGATGTCATACACTTTGAGGAAATGTGGACAAGGGTAGATTTGTACTCACCAGTGTAATATTGTGTTCACAATTATCATTTGTTTTGATTTAACAGTATCGGCTGATTTATCAGCCAGTCGGCTAAGCATTTTTTCTTAATTAATATTGTTGGAAATGCCAATGAAACTAGGTATGCTTGATCAATTGCCTTCCTCTCCTTAAGAATTTTGTGATAAAAAAATCAAATCAATATCGACCACACCATTGATCCATTCCTCTTCTTTCTCCGTTGCATTTGTCTTTCATCTGTTTTCCTGCTGCTCTTCCATGAAGCTTAGGTTAGCCATTTCATAGACCTTAGTCTCCACATGCAAGGTCAACTATAATCAACTCTAGACAATGTCACCGCCTTGCTTTTCCAGAGAGCTAAGCGGAGGAAGACGACTCCTCTGGGCTTTTAAGGACCTGCAGTATTATACCATTCAATTACTGTTCATTAGACAGTGTACAGCCATTAATCAGACTGAGATGTTCTGCTAGTCCTCAGCGGGGACAATGAACTGGGGAAATTTATTCTGGCTTCCTGTCTAGGCCACTGTTTAGTGGTAGGGAGAGAGATGACACATGGGAGCGCGCTGAAGCTTTCAGTGCTCCACTCTCCCTGGTATCTGTTTTCAAGTGAACTTCTTCACTTCACGCAGCCCCGTCGCTGAATTTCAAAAAACACGGGCTTTGTCAGAGATTTACTGCATATGTGGGAGAGTATTACAAATCTGATATATCACCGAAAGGGGAGAAAGCTGACAGATTAACTGATTAGAGCTTCATATGCATTGAATATGACTAGATGATGATATGAGAAGCTGATTTATGTTTTCCAGGAGGCTAAAGAGAGGGAGGCATCTTCCAAGCTCGGCAGAATACGGTCGCAGATGTCCCTGTTTTTCAAGGGTATGTTCATCAAAGCATAAAGCCTGGTAGGAGATCAGTGGCAGCCCCCATGTTCCTCTCCACAGCACCTAATGCTCCCATAAAGAGACCGCTAATACACTCGGCATTACCAGTTCCTCCCTGACATTGCATGTCGCTGGAACCGCAACCACCTCTCAACATCTGGGAGAGCTTTATAGCGTGCTTTATGGAGAGCATGTGGTTGAGTTTTTTTTCTTTTTGACTCCCTAATCTAAGATGACTTATTCTAGTATTAAAGGGACCTGCACATCAAGGTGTGCCATGCTGAGGGCTGGCATTGTCCACCACTCTTTATATTTCCCATGTTGTTTGCAATCTTGAACCATTCAGACAGAATAAGAGTCATACATACTTATGTTACCATTAGGGAAAAAAATTAATTAATTGCCGTTTTAAGTGGCTTTACATGAGCTGGCCTTTATATAATTATTAAAAAAAAGAACATATCTGAAAGAATTATGAAAAAAATGTACCATGTACCAATGTTTTTTTCCTTTTTATGGAGGTGAGAGTAACCTAGCTGAACCTCAACCAAAACAATGACATTCTCCTTTCTTGGGGAATGTGCCTTGCAGTTGGTTCAAGCAATTTCGTTATAATTGCCTACAGAACATTGGCTTTGATTTTTAGGACCATTCACTGGTTTCACAATATCGTCTTCTGTCCCTGGAGGAAATTCCGAAGGTGACTAAATAAAGCAGGATGCGAATCCCTGCAGGTGGTTATCTCTGTCTGCCCTTCAGTTTGAGGTTTGCTCTGTCGGTGTCCAGGAAATCACTGCATCCAGCGCTAACAGCGGGCCTCCTACCTCCCTCATCTGCCATCCATATACACTCACATATGCACAGAGTTATCTAACAGACAGGCGGTTAGATTAAATGTTTCTCTTATACAGCTGCACATGATTTTTGTGTACATACATGTATTCTCTTTCAATTATCTTCATATTGATAGTAGCAGAGGATGCAAGGCAGTCCCGTACACTCCAGTGAGTGATTTCCCTGCAGAATATCAGTGGGCACTACAGGGGGCATTCGAAATAAATCACAGCACGTTATTGCTTGCCGACTTGAGACCCACATCCACATTTTTCTGTCCCTATCACATTGCGTTGTTGTTGCTTTTTATGAATTGTTCTGCATCATTCATACCTCATATTCTCCAGCTGTCACAGTGGATCTGCAGATGACACAGATGCACAGCATAACTGGAGAGTCAGCAGAGGGAATAGGGATGTGATAGGAAATGCAAGTTATCTCTAACAGAATCATACCTACCTGCCACCTGCTTTGCATCAAAATGTCAATATGTGAACGAGTTTTTATCCTAGAAGGTTTTTTTGGCACAGTTTTCTAAGAGCAAATCTACCATCAAAGCATTTGGCCTGCTTTTTTCCACATTTTTTTTTTACATCTCAGGAGAATTGCGTCTTGATGTCCACATATAATAGGAAGAGAAACTGGCTTCAGTTTGGTGGAGATTCTCCTTCAAAAGTTATTGGCACCATGTACAATGGCTTTATAATTTATGAGAACTGTTAGGCCCTCTGACAGAAGTTGTAAAGCATCTTGACTGATTGGGTAGATATAAGATGTGTGCAGTCATGGCATATTGTTGCCTGCATGTGCGCGCGGCATGCACAGTTCCACGGCTTGCTCTGTCACAGATAAATTACTCCACACAGTCAAATTAAGTTGTTGTAAATCACCTCGTGGACCCGAGACTAGTCCTGAGTGACGACCTTTACGCCTATTTGACTTTAACTCTTATTTATGTTAATCACATCTGTATTATGCCCACAGTAAAACTGTGTCATATTTGAAAAGGTCATTGTTTTCTGGAAAAGAATAAAACTGTGGCACACACACACACACACACACACACACACACACACACACACACACACACACACACACACACACGCACAAGCTTTGTTTATTAGCACGTGAAGTAAGACTTCAAAATCTTGCATGGTTACCAGTTTTTGTGTTTTTCTTTTTCAAACTCTTTTTACAGGAAGAAAATTGAAACTTCAACATTAGTTGTTTAGATCTGCATGAGATTCACTCCAGAGGTATGCTCTATACAAACACTATAAATGATTTCATTGATTGAACTTTTAGCTCAAATGCACAAAACATATTGTTGTGTAGTCGAGCTGCATATAAAGCACAGCAGTGTTCATTAATCATACAGCATGTACAAATTATAACAATTTGTGCACGTTACAATCACCTGGTGGGAAATGATTATGAAATCCCCGTACAAAGAGTCTGATTATAGCTTTAGCAGTAAATAATCTCATGTTCAATGGCTGTTAATCCCGTTTACTACAGAATATATAGCATATTCTTCATTTGCTTTTTATTATCTTTCAGTTTTTATTAAATCAAATATCAGACTGTCTCCACTTCCAATGACGAAAAGCAGCCTTTCTTCAAAGTTGGAAGAAAACATATGCTTTTCTTCTTATTCAGCATATACATGTCGTGAGTGGCCTTCAGCGCATCTCAATAGCAGTATGTTTTTTTTTTCTCTATAATTTACCATGGTGAAGAATAAGAAGGACCAAAGGCTGTGTGTTAGAAATCAGCCATTGTGATGTGAAAGAGGCATCTGTGTGTGATCTTTGCAACACTTGAGACGACAGGCTCTGTGAAGTGCACCACTGCCCAGTTACACATGAGCTTTGATTGCTAGTTTGTTCTGTGCGTAGCCCCATAGCTTTGAACTGTGTCTCAAGATGAAAGCCAACCTTGTCCACAGTATGTCCACTGCAGACCGCTGCTGTTGCTTATTTGCTTCAGGCATGATCAAGAGCTTTGGGACTATTCTTTTTTTACAGTTTTTTTTTTTTACCATACTGCATTATGTATAATTTATCATACAGTGGATCCTGAGACAGCACCCTGTCTCCACTCCATTTTAATTTAAAGCCTCTTCTCTCTTTCCGTATCTTGCATTGACTGTGGTCAGTGTATGATACCACTCAGGTATGTCTTTGTTGTGTCCAGTTAACAGACTTTGATATTTGTGGCATTGGAGCATGCCCACAAAAAAAAAGAAGAAAAACTCAGTTCCTTTTCTCTCTCTCCTCCTCTCTTTGCAACCCTCTCTCTGTTTCTCAGAATCATAGAATACAGTGTCACACTGCTAAGGACCAGACGTCCTCATTCTCTTCTGTCTCAAGAAGCCAGCTGCTCATGTATAAGATGAAACAGTGTTATAAACCAAATAAAAATGTCTTTTCTCCTGACAGCCCCGGCGTGAATATATGGCCTCTTATTCCAGTGAATATATTGCATAATTATGTATGGTTATGAATATTACATGGAGCCTCACACTGGGTGCATGGTAAGACGCCTAATTGCAGAGTTTAATTATTAAGAAGCAAAGGTCCTGAGCGGGCTTTGCGAGAAGCACTTTTGATAAATTATTTTTTGCAGTTTTCTGATGAATTATTTTGGGGGCTTGTGTCTAATCAGCGGGCATAGTGGACGGCGTAACTGCTCTTGAGAGGGACTTATCTTCCCATGGAGAGGAATTACTATGCTGATTAAATCCACTGAAATCAACTAATAACTTAATGATATTGGAGTGGCCCAAAAAAAAAAAAAAAAAAAAGAATCATTGCCTCTCATAGTGCTGGCCATGAATAACACAAGGGCACAGTGATGGGTAGAATGAGGGCTATTGCTGTTGACCTTGGGGCACAGCTTTAATATTTCTCTGTAACACGAGGGAGGGAAAGTGTGTGATGGTATGTACTAAAGCAAACCTCGTTTTAAATAGTGTCATAGTGCTTTACTTTATACTTCATATAAAGCACTTCAAGGAAAAAGTCCAGAGAGGCTGACTAAACAAGGAATAATAAACTAGATCACCCTCAAGTACTGCCAAATCCACAAAGCACAGTTGCTTGTGTAACTACAGCACTTTGCTACAGCCACATCTTCCTCTCCAGCATGTACTATAGCTTAGACACCCACACAGTATTGCTGTTATATATTCACTTCAAATGCTCACTGCATTGAGAAAAGTTTAAGAGTTGACCTCAGTTTTATGTCAAAAGACATTTCAAAAATGGATAAAGCAGACTTCTCCGCATGTTACCTCAAATACAGAACTATTGCACTTGATGTATTCTTCCATAAAAGCTAATGGCTGTAATGCTGACAGTAAGAGTCACTGACCCACTTAATCACAGTTCTATATCACGCTGTGATGTTGCGAAATTTAGTTCACTATAAATGTGGGATAAAATGCGAGGGAATAGCGGTGCTCCTTCCTTTCACCTCCTACAAAATGAATACTGGTCTAGCACATATGAAAAGCAGTGCAGCTGCTTTTCTTCAGATAGCACAAATATGTGAATAATTGATCGATATTGATGTGAAAATCACCTAAGTGTAACCAGGAGCTGTTTGTTTGGAAGCCTCCCATGGAGGGCAGGAGTCTAGCCATCTGCCAATAACACGTCAGTCATCGTGTGCGGCGGGCACTCTGACTGACTCACAGAGCTGAACAATTGTTCTCAGTGTGATGTTTCTGTAAATCACACATTCTGCTTTTAACCGATGCTTGACGCTTGCTTTGAATGTTTCAGGTTGGTTTCAGTCAGGGGTCCGCAATGCTGTCTGGAGGTAATGGGTATATACCGATTCGGTTTTCTAGTTGTTATATAATTGCAGTGATTATAAATTATAGATTTGTGTTTGCATTTAATCTATAGAACTCAGCGAAACAGATGATGCATCTACATACACAATGTAATACTCTGCAAAATTCTTGAGCCATGCCTCATTTGTTTATGTTTTGCTTGGAAATGGGAACTATTTGCAGTGATTTATTGAAACGTGCAAACATACATGGAAAGTCAGTATATAAGGAAAGAAAGAGTTTGTACAATCTAATGAGCTTGAAAGTCAGTATTGGGTATTCTTCGTCTCAACTCCCTTAGGCAACTTTCTTGTAATTTCTTTGAGTAGTCTTCAGGAATAGTTTTCCAGGCCTTTTGTTCTGTTCTCTGTCAAGATAATCCCAAACTGCTTCAATAATGTTGAAGTCTGAGTTCTGGGGAGGCAAGTCCATGACTGACTGAGTTTCATTGTGTGTTTTTCAAACCTAATATACTTACTGTACTGACAGTGTGTTTGAAATCGGTGTCATGCTTAAATCAGACATGTTCCAGATGATGTTGCAGGGTGGATAAAAATCTGATGGTACTTTTCTGTCTTCATAATTCCAATCCAGTCTTGACAACCCTCCCCCCAACACTGGCCTCCTTAATGACCAAAAATTTCTAATTTGGATTCATCACTACATGATACCTTTGCCACTGATTTTTCACTCCAGTTTTTCTGTAATTTGGTTTACCTTAGCCTTTTTCTTGCTGTTTTTCTACCTTCAGAGGGCTTCTATGTAGGCCTTTGCAAACAGTAGATGCAAAAACTTTCATTTGTCCTCCACTCGTCTAATTTCCTCAAACTTTTTCAAGAACACACTGCACACCATGCTGAGATATGCCATGTTTTTGGCTAATTATTATATGCTTTTGCTTGAGGTTCATCTCTTGAGTTAGATGTCTTTTTAGGCTTGACTGATATAGGTCAGTGCTAAAGTATGTGGCATAAAAAACACAAAAACATTCCTTTGAAAATGGTCAGGTACAAGGACTGAACTGAAAATGAGTGAAAAGCAGCCATAGCATGTCCACAGAAAGGCTTTTAAAGACTTTGAAAAAGCTTTAATACTCATCATTACTTTTTACAAGAATTACAAGAAAGTCTGGCTCCTTGGATATAAAATATAAAGAAGTGAGGGATGGTTCAAGACGTTTAGACAATACTGCACGTGTTACTTTTTTAATCTTTACCCAGCTAAATTAACTTATTTGGAAACAGTGTAAATGTAGCATATGGTAGTTGTGCTACTTGTACAATAGTCTTGTATGATAAGGTATATTACTGAGTGCCTTTTTCCTAGTAACACAAAATCTATTAGCATTTGTATCAGAAACGTATTTGAAAATTGCTGAAGGTCATTTTATACAGAGGCACCATGTGCCTTGAAACCTGCACGGATAGTTGGTGTTATAAAAAGGCCTTTTTACAACTGACATCACCCAGAGCCACCAGGAGGCCACTTTTCCCTCACTCTGTTCTGTAGCTACCCACTGTCTAAAGCTAATGGCTGGTAACACAACTGAAAGCTCTCAGTCTGATAAGATAATATAGAGTCAGAGAGAAAGCGAGCGAGTTTAAGAGCACTATATAAGTGGGATATATATTCAGACTACACAGGGATGAGGAAATGCTCTAAAAATAAAAAATAAAAAAACAAATGGAAAATGCTGGGATGATATCACTGAGCCCGGAATGCTGACGGCAGTGTTTTGAGTCACATCCAGATGGCTATGAAGCAGGGATGACAGTGGGAGCTGGGACTTACTGCTGTCCTCTCACCTGATGTCATGCTTAATAAAATAAATGAGGATGACATTATGCTTTGCAAACAGATTCATGAATTGTAGAGCTTCGTTAAAAGAAATTACCTGTATTTTTATGATCATGACGTTCAGTGTTTACAGCTATTGTGAGTCACTGTCAAAGCAAGTTAGGTTGGCAAGATGCATTCATAGACTGTATGGGTGCATCTTACAGACGTAGATACCTGCTAACAAATAAATAAAATAAAATTCACTGGAGAGTCTCCAATGCAAGTCCTGTTATTTGTTATGTAACTGAATTAAAAATGTTCCAACAGACAGCAACATCATAGAAAAACAATCCTGTTCAGTGACTTGAATTGCTATTCCTGGCGCACTTAAACAGTCCACCTAGCAGCCTGTTCCACTTTACATAAAAGAGGCCACATCCCTGATAAAGATTATTGTTTTTTGTGTGTGTCAGGATATAAATATGTTTATTTCTGGTCTAAAATTGGCTTAATTTTTCTCATCCTTTCACTTACTAACTTGGTCCCTCCATCAGCTCTGGCATGCCCCACTTCCAGACATACTCTCATACCATATGCTCTCATCTGTTACTTTGTTGCAGGCATATACATTCAGCGCAAGGTTTAGTTTATAGCCAATCATATGCCACTGGCTTTTACCGTCTATAGTGAACGAGGGAAGAGGCTTTCAGCAGCTGTGCAATCAGGCAAGCTGAAAAACGAAAAGATCTAATCTGTGCAGAAAGGCGAAAACAAGTGTATAGTTCCCGGGACTCTTTCACACCAGTAGTCTGCTCATTCACCTTTTTGCAGCTCCCTGCCACCACCAGCAGCGTGCCCATACATATGTTTACAAATTTGTTTTTACATTTCTATTTTTTTCTAGTTTCCCTACTGCTTCTTTTTCATTGCTTCTCTCTCTCCTTTCTCTCCCCCCCTTTGTCTTTTCCTTCACTGGCTGTCTTTAGTAAGATGGATGTGTGCATTCCCAGGGCAGATGGCTTTGTTGTTACTCTGTGTACCCGGCTAGCACTTTAACACCCGGCCTCCTTGTCTGGCCTGACGGGCCATTGCCTGGGGAAAGAACTCTACCAATACACTGTGCAGAAAACGTGTGTCGTGCAGCTAACTGCATGGGTGCTCACACCTTTTTTGTTACTGGTAGACCCTCACAGTCAGATACACACATAGATTTGTTTTAGCACGGTTGTTGGTATAGAAAAACTTCAGTATATAGTATACATGCACTATGCAGTAGCTTGTAAAATCACTTTTAATAGAAATAACTTCAAGTAAACATTTTCTGTATGACTATCAGTCTCCCACGTGGTTGTGGGGGAATTTTAGCTTACTATTCTTTATAACGTAGCCTTAGTTCATTGATGTTTGTGGACATCTGTTTATGCCAAGATCAGGCATGAGGTCTGAACTTTGACTGGGCCATTGCAACACCTTTATTATTTACTTTTTTGGCCATTCTCCACCACCTTGCTTGATGTGTTAGACTCAGTGACCACCTCTCCACCACCTTGCTTGACAGTTGGTATGAGGCGTTTATGCCGATTTGATGCATCTGTTTTTCTCCAAATGTGGTGCTATACATTATGGCACAGCATCTCCACATTGGTGTCATCTGTCCAAAGGACATTTTGTGGGTTTATTCAGATGCAACATTACAAACCTAACATGAGCCATGCTTGTTTTAGAAAGAAAAGGCTTTCTCATGGCAAAGCTTCCAGATGAGTTTCTCTTGTTCAGTCTTTTTCTAATTGTGCTGTCATGAACTTTAACATTTAACATGC